CCCCCGCCCGTGCCCTCGCCCGGTGCCCTCGCCCGTGTCCTCGCCCGTGCCCTCGCCCGTGTCCTCGCCCGGTGCCCTCGCCCGGTGCCCTCGCCCGTGCCCTCGCCGCCGTCCTCGCCCGTGCCCTCGCCCGTGTCCTCGCCCGTGCCCTCGCCCGTGTCCTCGCCCGTGCCCTCGCCCGTGTCCTCGCCCGTGTCCTTGCCCGGTGCCCTCGCCCCTGTCCTCGCCTGTGTCCTCGGCCGTGCCCTTGCCCGTGCCCTCGCCCGTGCCCTCGCCACCGTCCTCGCCCGTGCCCTCGCCCGGTGCCCTCGCCCGTGCCCTCGCCCGTGCCCTCGCCACCGTCCTCGCCCATGCCCTCGCCCGGTGCCCTCGCCCGGTGCCCTCGCCTGTGTCCTCGCTGACCTCCCTCACCGGTGCCCTTGCCGGCTTCTCTCGTCTGGTGACAGTGATGGACCGTGCAAGCAAGGGGTGTGCTGAGGGGTCGAGCAGGCGTCGGCCGATGGCGGGGCCCCTCTCCCACCGACCCGGGGGCTCGTGAGGCTCCAGCTGAACCCTGACCCCGCTGCCTGCAGAGCCTGCTGACGCCTGCCTTTGCAGCATGAAGAATGAAGAAACACCGTGCATGTGACCCAAGGATTTGGGGTGGCCGCGCCTGAGGAAGGGCGGTGGCTGGTCGCCTCCGTGCCCCCGGGCTTGTGGTGAAGACAGCTGCTGCCTTTGCAAACCTCCTGTCAGGGGCGCCGAGGGGGCTCAGACGGGTCAGCGTCTGACTCTTGATTTAGGCTCAGGTCATTATCTCCTGGTTCACAGGTTCAAGCCCTGTGCCGGGCTGTGTGCTGACAGCACGGAGCCTGCTTGGGATTCTCTGTCTCCCTCTCTCAGCCCCTCCCCTGCTGGTTCTCTCTCGAAATGAGTAAATAGACATTAAAAATAATAAAAATGAACCTCCTGTCAGGAGCTGCTTCTGCGTAGGTGTGGTCGCCACAGGAAACCGTGAGGCTGCCGAGTCGCCCCTGCCCCCCGGGCCCTCAGAGTTCTCTGTGCACTCGCTTTCTTCCCTGAGGAGCGTGTGGTGTCACAGGTGCGAACGCCCTCTCAGGAGCCCTGTGTTCTGTGTGGTCTGCTTCTCAACTGCATGTTTCTGACTCATCCCAATGCTGAGTTGGATGCAGACATTCTCAGTGCCCTGACTGTCCCTGCCGAGAAGACGCTGCCTGTGTCACCTCCAGTTTCCCAACATTGTCCCATGGAATAGTTTGGGAAATGCTCAGCCAGGCAGGAGGCAGGGGTTCCTCACGCAAGGCTTCAGAGGTCCTTGGCTTTGGCAAGTAGACACGGAATTGCATCTATGCTCAAGTGTGCATGCAGGTGTGCATGCAGGCATGTGCCCAGGTGCTCATGCAGGTGTAGTGCAGGTGTGCATGCAGGTGTGCACCCAGGTGTGCAGGTGTGCATGCAGGTGCTTCTCAAGCAGCCATGTCAGCATTTACCTGCAGGCGGCCAGCTTTTGTCAGTCACCTCCTCCACGGGAAGCTCCCAAACCATAGAAGATTCTCTGACAGCGTATTTGAGGCACTAGTTCCTAGGCAGGGGTAAAGTGGCGTAAGGAGCGACCTGAAAGCACCTGACCTCGGAAGGGAGTCCTTGAGCCAAACCTGTGGTGTGTGCGGCTGCAGCGCAGACCTGTCAAGAAATTACGCAGGGGCCTGTGTTGCCCAGTGGCTTCCGCAAGTTTAGGAGAACCGAGGACCACGCAGCACGGCTCCGTCCAGACTGAACCCAGACCCCGTTGGTCAGGAGCACAAGTGAGAGACAACAGTCCAGCCCACGGTGCCCTCGCTGGGCCTTTGCTCACTGCACATGTGACCCCAGATAGTGAAGATAAAAATCTCAGAGCCAGGAACAGAGTTGGGAAGAGCTACCGCTGCACTGAACAGCGCCTCTGAAAGAGGCCTCTGGTGGAGAAGGCGGCCCCCAGAGCAGACTGTGGCCACGGGAGTGTGCACACCCAGCCAGGAAAGTGCTGTTGAGGGACCTTTGGTTCCTTTATAAGCGCATGTCATGTGTGTGTTGGCCAGTCAGAGTTTGAAG